AAGTAAGTAACTACTGTTTTAACTTCTTACTATTAGAGAAAAGATCCATTTTGAAGGTGCTAAGTTTGTCACTCCTTTATGTAGGTCTCATAAGCTTTGGTAAGGTCACACAGGAACAGAAAGACATGGCTGGAAATTTTGATCTGAAGTTATATTCTTGGGAAGATTTCCTGTTGCTGGTAGGTTACTTGGATTTGTTGTTACAGTCATGTCTTCCTCTTTTTTTCGACTATTGCAGAGAAAAATTCTTCACTTAATGGATTCTTATTGGATTTCTTATTGCCTCACTCTTATCATTCGCAATAACTTTTGGTGATTAAGTAGTATGTAAGTCACACAAGAGAAGTCTACTTAAACCAATTTCAACAGCTTTTCTGTGCTTTTTGTTCTAATTCACATTCGAACTATGACTTATTATTGTGAGAGCAGCATGTTCCAATGGGGTTTGTCATTTGTATGAACTTATAGCTGCAGTGTCATGCCTGTACCACATAGAAAAGGTAGGAAAATGCTCGAGATATTAACCCTAGATCAGTTTCAACATAAGCCTGAATCCAATTCCGTTTGACCATTTTTTTGGAACTGGCTCATCTTCTTATATTATATCTGGAAACAAATTATATCCAATGCATTTTTGCAATCCATAGTTTTATCTCATGACATGTCTTCAGATATATATAATCAACTTCTATTCCTCTTACGGTTATTGAACTTCTGCATATATATCAGTTGTCAACTAATAGAATGTTCCATATATACTATTATTGGAACTAACCTTGGGAAACTAATTTATGCGACTTATTTTCCTCTTCCATTTTCTGTAGTTTATATTAATATTCAGAACTAATCTGCAGGGAATGCAAGAGAAATTTGATCTTCCAGCTAAAAAGAAGACAGATATATGTACAATCATGTACACAAGTGGAACAACTGGTGACCCAAAGGGAGTCATGATTTCCAATGAGAGCATTCTATCCCTTATATCTGGAGTGAACCACCATATGGAGACCGTGGGCGAAGAGGTAAAATTGACTGCCCTTGTTCTGTCTTCCAGGACAGTAAAACGTTATGAAGGCCTTAATTAAGAATTTCTTTAGTGTGTCAATCATGATTTATGAATGTAGAAGTTTCATAAATATTTATATACTGTATTTACTGTTATGTTTCAGGTGGGTTTTTGTTATTCAACTTTTTTATATATATTTCATTTAGGTGTGTTCCATTTACTAATTCCTCTGTGGTATGCAGTTCACTGATAAGGATGTATATTTATCATACCTTCCTTTAGCGCACATATTTGATCGAGTCATTGAAGAATTATTCATCTCTAAAGGTGCCTCAGTTGGTTTTTGGCATAAGGTAAGTAAAGAAACATGATGTATTACTTTTGGTTCCAAATACTTGAAAATAATGATGCTTTATTGATGGAATCCTCAGGATGTTAAACAATTGATTGATGACATCAAAGAGCTAAAGCCAACTGTATTTTGTTCAGTTCCGCGTGTGCTGGACAGGATTTATTCAGGTGAAAGCTACAAGCTAACAGAGCTGCATGATGTTTTACATGTGCTTAATGTTCTCCATTCTGTTAAGATAGTTCTGGGATAAACAATACAGAAAGCAATGAGTATTGAGGTCCATGAATACATGTTTTTAACAGAAACATTTTCTTCAACTGCCATAGAACATTGCCCTTTTAATTGCTTCATGAAAGTCTCCTTTTTTCCTATCGCAAAGATGCTATCATCTTATAATCAATATTCCTAATGCGAGGTTCTTGCATTGTTTTGCACAATTTAACTAAGACTCGTAAACTGTTAACCATTTCCACTTTCAGGTTTGGTGGAGAAGATTTCATCTGCTGGTTTCCTTAAACACAAACTGTTTAATTTTACTTATAACTAGTAAGTGCCCATTTGATCTTGTTTCCAAGGGAAAAATAGAAGTCAATCGTTGAAATGTACTAATTCCTTCTGCACTATTTTCCTTATTATGGAACAAACAGAATGATACTCAAATGGTAGAAGCCTTTTATGTTGATGACCTTTCCAGTTTGCTGTCACTTTTTGAGTCCATGTCTGCGCATGTGGTTACTTAGCCATCTTATACTCATGGAGATCTTTGGGCTGTTAGGGAATCGTCATGCTTACGATCTTTACCATGATAAAAAGCTTTTTCGATTGTAGCAGATATACCTGTATAACTCATATAAATGCATAGGTGTTCACAGAAAGAGTTAAAAGCTTAAATATATGTAGACTGTAGAGACTCTTTGCTGTGTAAAATTGTCAATGTGCATAAATACATCTCTCAGATGAGTTATGACATATGTAAATTAGGATTGTTCAATGGATATGTCATGCTACATTGGAAATATTACTAAGATCTATTTCATTAGTTTAATGATCAAGGTTAACAGCAGTGGATGTAGTTCTGGATGTATGGTTCATTTTGACACAATTGATTTGGCCCACTCTGTAGGTGTGTTCAAAAATCCACTAAATAAGTACAGATAGTAGAGTTTGAACTCAATAAATCAAATGGGTTGTGATATACTTCTGAGCTTGGAACTCATGTGCTCAATTCTTGGATCCGCTTCTAACGCACAACACATTTCTTGCAGCAAATTGGGTAACATGAGTAAAGGGTATAGGCACTCAGAGGCAGCTCCTATTTTTGACAAAATAATTTTCAATAAGGTAGGAAGCAATTGCATCTTTCTTAACAGCTTCTTTTTTCATCCTTGTTTCTCCATCTTTTTGGTATCACAAACAACAGTGTTCCGAAGTGACTTGCTAATGCATTGTGAGATGATTACTGACTTAGGTGAAGGAGGGTTTAGGAGGAAACTTGCGTCTCATTCTATCGGGAGCAGCACCTCTCTCTTCCACTGTTGAAACTTATTTACGAGTTGTAACATGTGCTAATGTTCTTCAAGGATATGGTACTTATTATTACTTTTCAAACATTTTCTACTTACAAAAGATTTTCCTAAATTAAGTCATAATGCACTAGGCACTAGTTTTGAACCAACTCTAACTTCGCGGTATGTGCTTTAGGTTTAACGGAGACCTGTGCAGGCTCATTTGTTGCAAGACCAGATGAACTGGCAATGGTTGGCACTGTCGGTCCTCCTTTACCAATTATAGATGTGTGTCTAGAGTCTGTTCCTGAAATGGGGTACGACGCCTTTGGAGATACCCCTCGTGGAGAGATATGCATAAGAGGGAAGTGTTTATTCTCAGGATACTATAAGCGTGAAGACCTCACCAAGGAGGTGTTGGTTGATGGATGGTTCCACACAGGTGTGACTTGACAAATATATATCTGCGTTCTCAACCCAATGTCTTGGTTTGTGGATAGCTTGCCATTTTGCTTACTGTATAAACTTGCAACAGGTGATGTTGGTGAATGGCAGCCGGATGGGAGCATGAAAATTATTGACCGCAAGAAAAACATTTTCAAGCTCTCCCAAGGAGAATATGTTGCAGTTGAGAATCTGGAGGGAATTTATTCTCTTGCCTCTAGTGTGGATTCAGTATGTTTCTTTTATTTTACAGATATCTTGAATATTACACTTATCCCCCTTAAGTTGTGTTCCTTCTATACTTCAATATTAAATGACCAAGTCCACTCTAGATATAGTTGCAGCATCACATTTTATCTTGACAACTTTTTCTGTCCATTTGAAACAGATATGGATCTATGGTAGTAGCTATGAGTCATTTCTTGTTGCTGTCGTGAATCCCAATATGGAAGCTCTGCGTTCCTGGGCCAATGAGAATGGAATGACTGGGGATTTTGATACTATATGTGAGAACCCAAAGGCAAAAGTACATATCCTATCAGAACTAACCAATATTGCTAAGGAAAAAAAGGTCATCCCTTATCCTGTATCTACATATATACAGCAGAATTATATACTGAATGACTGTTTCATTGGTTTTGAATTATTGAATGTGTGATTCTGCTTACAGCTGAAAGGCTTTGAATTTATCAAAGCTGTGCACCTTGACCCTGTACCATTTGACATGGAGCGTGAACTTATAACCCCGACTCACAAGAAAAAGAGAGCCCAGTTTCTCAAATACTACCAGGTTTGCTAATCTGCTTCTCCCAAGTTAGATTTAGGGCATGCCCATATAGCGAAAAGTCAAGTGCTTTCTACAAGAATTTTTATTTCAAGTTGGAAGCCAGTCTCTTGTTTATTGCTGACACATAACTAACGTGAAATTGCAGAACAACATTGATACACTGTACAAAAACACAAGATAAACAGCCAGACACCTTGACTTCAAGTTCGAGCTGGAGAAAAGTAATATATGATGTCAAATTCTACATGCAGTTTTATCTCAGCTAATATTTATCAGTTGTAATTCATTGTTCATTGTACCTTATAAAACTCCAATTATGTATGGCTAGTTATGTTACTTGCTATTTCTTCACAATTGAAATTTGAATGTCTCAGACATCCTTTTATTCATTTTAATTCTTTTTCTTCCAAAGATCAAATCATCCATTAGATATTCGATGAGTTACCAGAATATCTAACCTAAACAAGTAATGATTTCTTGATTGTGAAATGTTAACTCTGGGCATGTAGTGGTCTAATTTGTTCCTAATTTCTTCGTAGTTGCATTTGTATTAAAGTAGCAGTTTAAAAATATGTCCAAAAGCCATTGAGAATCATAGTTCAGTAGAGTAAATCTGGATTCAGGCCGAGAAGTCTCATGTTGGGGGAGTAAAAAGGCAACTCCATACTCAGGGACTTGAACGCGAAACCTCTAGTCAAGGATAAATGAGTCCAAATCATTCGACACTATTGTGTAGAAAATGAAGAGTGCATGGACTATTAACGAAAAATAACGAAACTGTTGGGACCAAATTGAATATAACACCAAATGCCAAGTACTTATGACGGATATAATCTTGTTTTTCATATACAGTTTACCAAACGTCGTCGTAGTCTGACATACAAATATCTCCCTCCCACAAAATCTCAAACTTTTACCCTTAAACCCTCCGAAAGAGGGCAAATAGGGCTTAAACCCTAAAAACCCTATCCTCAATTCTTCTTCTTCTTTAAAAAAAAGAAGCCCTAATTTCTCCCTCCTTATATTTTTCACCATTTTCCATGCCGCTCAAGTTATTACCACAGCTTCGTTTCTTCAATTCTACATTCCCAGTTACCCATTTTCCCACCATGAAATGCAATTCAACTTTGAAGCCTAAAACAATACCAGTTTTTTCTAGAATGTTTCCACACAAGCTTAAGTATAGGTCAATTGGGTTTCCAATTTTAGCAGCTCAAGAACAAGAGCTTCGTAGGTTCTCGAGCCGTTCAGGGAGACCAAGACCCGGGTCGGGTGCTGACGTGCGAGTTTCGAAGAGCTTGATTGAAGATGAAGCTGAACTCAGTGATTGGGTGAGTGGGTTGAGGTCTGATTCTTCGTTTACGAAAACTCAGGTGTATAGTGAGAGTGATGATAATGAGGGTGACAGGGAAAGGAGTAGGGGTAAATTTGGTAATAGGCGTAATGGTGGAGAAGATAGAGGTGAAAAGAGAAGGAGAGATGATGATTTTAGTGGGCCTGGTAGGAGGGGTGGAGGCCCAATGCAGTCGAATTCGAGGAATGGGGGGAGGTTTGGAAGTGAATTGTCGGGTGGAAGAGGTGCGGGACGAGGTGGAATGCAGTCGAATTCAAGAAATGGAGGGAGGTTTGGAAGTGAATTGTCAGGTGGAAGAGGTGCGGGACGAGGTGGAATGCAGTCGAATTCAAGAAATGGAGGGAGGTTTGGAAATGAAAGGGGGAGTAGAAATGAGGGTGGAAGAGGTGATGGTGGTCGAGATCGAATGGGGTCCTCCTCAAGGGGAGGAAGGTTTGGAAGTGATATAAGGAGTGGAAGTGAGGGTAGAAGAAGTGGAGGCCAAGACCGTATGGAGTCATTTTCGAAGGGAGGAAGGTTTGGGAGTGATATGGGGAGAGAAAGTGAAGGTAGAAGAAGTGGAGGCCAGGATCGGATGGAGTCATTTCCAAGGAAGGGAGGGAGGTTTGGAAGTGAAATGGCAAGTTCCAGTGACAATAGGGGTAAAAGCAGGGTTGGTAGTGGATATGGTAGAGATATGGCAGCACAAGGTGGTAGTGGTAGGTTAGGGAGGAAAGAAGGGGCAGGTATGGGTCGAGGGAGTTCCATGCTGTTGGATGAAGATGATACCGATAATGAGGATGAGGAAGAGGAGAATGGTTATAAGGGGTTCCAAGATTTGATTGACAGCGAGGAAGAAAGTGAAGAATCTGATGAAGACAATGAGGTTGAGGATGAAAAAATGGTCTCTTTGGAAAAGGAGGACAGTCCAAGGACATCAAGTCCGAGCTCACATGGAAAAAGTGATTCCCACCTCACAGAAACCAGGTAATTTATAAACTCATGCCTCACTATGTATTACGCAGCATTCTAGTTAGAATCTTTTTGAATAGCTGTCTGGAGCTCTTACAAGCATGATGCTAAAATAATGAATAAATAATAGCACTACATATGATCCAGAGGTTGCTGAATCTTTTGCCAAAAAGCAATGGGGATTTGGATTGATGTTGTTATTCTGTACTTCTAAATTACTGAGTTAGGATTTAGATATGCGATAGTTGCTATTAGAGAATATGTTAAATGAAAATAGAAAGAGATAATTCGGGAAAATTTAGTGGATTAGCTATCACAAGTACTATGGTGCTTAATCACTGTATAGGAAAACATAAATGAAGGGGACTGATAAAGAAACATAGATGAAGGGGTTGAGCGCATGAATGATACTTCATCAATTAGTTGAAAGTGGATATTTTGCTTGACTCTACACAATCAGAGGGATTTTGCCCAAGAATATGGTAAATTTTCCAGGTAGATGGACTTCCTGTAGAACTTCTAATTATCAAGGCAGTTATAGTGAAATATTTGTGTTCATGCTCCAAGTAACCCGAAGGAAAATTTAATTCTTCTGTCAATATATATGTCTTTATTATATTAGATAATATTTGTATCCTTTTCCCTGCAGGTTTGATCAGTTTCCTCTCTCTCCCTCGTCTCTGAAAGGAGTTAAAGATGCTGGATACAAAACGATGACTGTAGTGCAGGAGGCAACCCTTCCCGTTATTCTGAAAGGTCAGCCTTTATATTTTGCAGAAGCTTGAAGCATAGTGAGTTGAGATGTCATTCATCAGATAGTATATAGAGGTTTTGATGGCTTTGTAAATGATAAGTCCAGTGGTGTTACTTCAACCAGTCTGAAACTACATGCAGAAATATAATATGTATTAGAGTGCTATCCCAGCCTTCTCTGTTGCAAGGATTTCTTATTTTCTTGTCTTATTCATTTATTGTATGTGTTATTGATGACAGTGCCTGTTGTAATCCATTGTATTTGGTAGGCAAGGACGTTCTGGCCAAGGCAAAGACTGGCACTGGGAAAACTGTAGCATTTTTGGTAAAACACTAAATCTTTTACATCAGAGAGTACCTGTTCATGTATGAATAAGAAAAAAATTGTCGCACGCAATCCCTCATATAACAAATAGATTTATACTCGTTAGTGTCACCTATTAATTGGTATTCCATTTTCTTATTAGTTTATAACTTTCTTAGTGACTTGTATAATCTAACACCCCTACATTCCAGATTTCTTGGAATAGGACTGATGTCAACACCATTATTTGAATTGAAGGATGAGTATCTTCAAGTTGTAATGTGACCAGTATGTGCATTCTTTTGGTTTGTCAAATGTGAATAGAAGTGCAAGCCACTATTCCCTGAAGTTTTTTAGAAAATAGACTTGCTCTACGTAAAGACAGGGCTTGAACCCCATAACTTTGTCCCCCCAAAACAAACAATAAAATCTCACTGGTTTAGTTTGTAACTTTTGGTGTTCCATTTCCTTTGAAGTTTTGAGTAAAACTTTTACATTTTTTTAATTTCATAGAAATTCATAAAGTTCCTTGTATATGCCATGAAACAACCAAGTTGTATACAGATGTGACTTCACTATTAAAAATTGTTTAACCAATTTTATCAAGTTAAATTATATTTAAACATGAAATTTCTTTGTTTAACAAAAAGGTAGTGATAGTCTGCTAATTTTGAGTGCCAACTTTTCTCTGGTTATATATGACGCGTTTCTCAATATGCTGGGGGATTATGGTTCTTTGGTAAAAGTATATGTTGTTTCATACTCTGCTTCACACTTCAGAAAAAAGCACTATGTATAACAAGAAATGGAAAAACTAGAGGGAAGCTAAAACATTTTAGTACACATAATACTTGAGGACAAAGTTCGTATCCATCTTGGGTCATGGGTTTTGCCTTTTTGATATTTTTTAACTTTAGATCTTAGGCATACTGTAGATAGCAACATTCAGTGATTATTAGATTTTCTGATAGTCAACTTGTCTCATTTATTCATAGCTGCCTTTTACGAGTTAGTTTCTTTCCTATTAAAATTACCAGAAAGCAGAGCTTCAACACCTATTTTGTGATTGAGTTATGGCTTTGAAATGGATTCTGTTAACCTAATCCTTTTTAGTTAATAAAATATCAGCTCTGTTAAATTAATCATGTTAAAGATTCTCCAAATAACCATTCTAATAATTTGTATTCAGCTTCCTTCAATTGAAGTTGTTGTAAAATCACCCCCCAACACCCGTGATCAAAAGAGGCCACCAGTTCTGGTGCTTGTGATATGCCCTACTCGGGAGCTTGCAACTCAAGCAGCTGCCGAGGCCAACACCTTGTTGAAATATCACCCTTCAATTGGGGTTCAAGTTGTTATAGGCGGAACACGGCTTGCACTTGAGCAGAAAAGGATGCAAGCAAATCCCTGTCAGGTAATTATTTCTTTGGGAATCCATTTCAAAAATAAAATAAAATATTTCTTTGAGAAGGGTAGCAGAAGTCATGCCAGATGTAGTAGTTATTACTTTATATTTATTAATTATAAAGTTACTGCTTTATAAATATTTATACATGGCTCTTGTGATAAATGAAGCAACAGCTAGCTGAGATGAAGAAATTCATTAAGATGAAAATTCTGAAACATTAGTATAATGTTTGGCGAGCTTAAGTTTTTGACGAATCGAAAAAGGGGGTTTCATTATGTTTAACTGTTGGATACGAGAATCTAGTACAACTACCATATATGTACAACAATACTGATATGCTTGTGTATTTGATGTAACATTGCAGGCATGGGGTTATTATAAGGGAAAATTAGGCCCTACATGATGAATATTGGAAGTGCTTCTCTTCTTTGATTCCTTATTGATCTCACAAAGCACCTTTGGTATATCAGTAGTCGCTGACCTTCTTAGCTTAGTCTTATTCATCTTTTGTATGCATCCTTCAGACTGAGTAAGGCATTTTTATTAATTTTTTATGGAAAAGGTGTCAGGCAAGTATTAGAGAAGATACCAGATGGCTGTGTGAAAGGCCAAATTTTTAACCATCTCAGTGCATCCCATCATTGAGAATAATTTATTTTTTTTGGTTAGTCATGATCACCGCTCTCCTTAGTCCTTTCAAGCGAGAATGGGTGTAGTTGCAAGCCAGGTTTAACTAATGATCAATTAATAACAGACTACAACGTTTTTGTTGCTTCTATGCTTTCAAAAACTGCTTTCTTTATGTTGCTCTATTTTGTCTTTAAATAATTGATACTGATTGACTTTTCACTTCCAAAAATAACTACTAATACCACTTATCAAAAAGGAATAATTACTAACGTTTTCCAATAAGCGACTCAGATACTTGTGGCGACACCTGGGAGACTCAGAGATCACGTAGAGAATACAGCAGGATTTGCTACTCGATTGATGGGTGTTAAAGTGTTGGTCCTTGATGAAGCCGATCATTTGTTGGATATGGGATTCCGTAAAGAAATTGAGAGAATCATCTCTGCTATTCCAAAACAGCGCCAAACACTTCTCTTTTCTGCAACAGTTCCACCGGAGGTACTTTCTTAATTACTCTCCTGGAGTAAGTAGTATAAAGAGATGGAAATGAATTTACCTCCAACTTTGCAGGTCCGTCAAATTTGTCATATTGCTTTGAAAAGAGACCATGAATTTATCAATACTGTCGAGGAAGGCAGTGAAGAGACACATGCACAAGTAGGTCTTGGTTATTTATTGGAGTTCCTAGGATTGATACCTTTGTTGGATCTGATTTGATTTCTAATACTTTGTGAATTCTTCAGGTTCAGCAGATGCATCTGGTTTCTCCTCTAGAATCACACTTTTCGCTTCTTTATGCTCTACTAAAAGAACACATTGCTGATGACGTTAACTATAAGGTACTATACTTGTAAATTAGGATATTCGTAGGCATTTTTTTTTCTGGGTTTCTTGAGGTGGGACAAGGAAAAGTAGGTCAACTTTGGTAGCCTGGAAAGTGTGACACTCTTGGTAAGTCACATTTATTATGCTGCTCTTCCGGTTCATGTTGTCAATCTGCTCTTTGAATCGCTAGGAACAGTAAGAGCCTGCTTGGATGGGCTCATGGCTTATAAGCATAAGTCATAAGTTAGAAATCCTAACTTATGGCTTATTTTTGTTATTTGACTCAAAAACAAGTGCTTACAAGCACTTCTGTTATCTTTATCTAACACTATTGTGTGGATCCTATTTCAATGGGAAAAAGCACTTAAAATAAGCCGATATAAACAGTCTCTAAGTCTCCCATAGCTTACTTGTCATATACTCCCTCCGTTTCAAAAAGATTGATCTGGTTTGACTTGGTACGAAGTTAAAGACATTAAAGAAGACTTTTGAATCTTGTGGTCCTAAATTAAAGTTATGTCAAATGTACAAAATTGCCCTTAATCTTGTGGTCTTAAACATGCCACGTGGAAAGCAAAAAGTAAAATGTTACCAAAAAAGGAAAGAGATCATTTTTTTGAAACTGACTAAAAAGGAAAGGAGATCATTCTTTGTGAAACGGAGGGAGTATCATTTATGCTATTTTTGAACTGGAAGTTCAAATAACAATCATTTGCAGAAGTCACCAACCACTTTGATTCTGATTCTCGAGTGCAGGTTCTTGTATTTTGCACAACTGCAATGGTAACAAAACTCGTTGCTGAGCTTCTTGGTGAACTTAACTTAAATGTCCGGGAGATTCATTCTCGTAAGCCACAAAGCTATAGAACAAGGGTTTCAGATGAATTTCGCCAGTCTACAGGTCTTATTCTAGTTTCTTCGGATGTTTCTGCTCGTGGAGTAGATTATCCAGATGTTACCTTAGTTGTACAGGTATGTATTGTCATTTTGGGATATATGTGATGTCATCTGCTCAATATTAATTGTCCTTAGTGCTGTCTATTGTTTAAATCTCTATACCAAGTCAAGGTTGATATGTGTTTTTGTAAACGTAAGTTTTGTCTAAACTCTCTCCCCTGTGACGAAATCAATCTTGTATTCTATCATGCAAAAGGTTAAGTCATGCATTTGTTCTAAAGTTGGGTTTCGTTGCTAGAGTTATTTAGTAGTTCATCTAGACAGATTTCTTATGGATATATAGTCTTCTCATCTGCTTGCTAATGGATATCATGTGTCTGTGGGCTTATGTCAACTCCTTTCTTTTGTAGATTGGAGTGCCAGCTGATAGACAGCAGTATATCCATCGTCTAGGTAGAACCGGACGGAAAGGAAAAGAAGGACAAGGCATTTTGTTGTTGGCTCCATGGGAGGAATTCTTCTTGTCTACAATTAAAGATTTGCCCGTATCAAAGGCGCCTGTACCTCTGCTTGATCCAGAGGCCAAGAAAAAGGTTGGTATTAACTTTGCATGAGCGATGTTTCTTTCTAGCTTGGCATAATCTGAAGCTCAAAGCTTAATGTGGAGAGTATTCTGTTCTTGAAGTTGTTTAATTCCTTGGTTTTCTAAATAATATTCTTTGGTAATAGCAACATATATGCTTGTGTAGGTGGAACGTGCGTTAGCCCATATAGATATGAAAACCAAAGAATCTGCATACCAGGCATGGCTTGGTTACTATAATTCCAACAGGGCTATCGGTAAGGACAAGTACAGACTTGTTGAACTTGCAAATGAGTTTAGTCGGACTATGGGGCTTGACAACCCTCCAGCAATTTCAAAGCTTGTTCTTGGGAAAATGGGATTGAAAAATATTCCTGGACTACGTTCCAAGTAAGTTGAGATAGTGTTGCAGCTTCTTCTCATATATATATGCATACGAAGTGTATATATACACAGCACAAGCCGTGCAATGCAACAATTGTTTTTCAGCTAAGTGCTGCTTTTACCCATTGTTTGTAATTTAGTTACTAGGGAGGATTCAAAGCCTTGACATAACATAAGTTGAGTTCCTTTTTTGCTAATAGGAAATTTGGCCTTTCCTCTTTCTAGTTGAATATTTTGTCTCTTCATTTATTAGTATGCGGGAATTACAAACACCCACAGTTCTCAGATATCAGCAATTTTTAATTGTAGTATACAACGCAAAATGGTGCTAAAATTTTATTATCATCTTTGGGAAATATTTTCAAATAGGCTCTAAAATAGTTAAAACACATTTACGGAAAAGGCCTACATATTTGTTCTGAATAGGAATGTCTAAATAACGCAATTAGTTTTTGATGTATAGAGGACAAATGAACACAAGCTTTTATTGGAAATAATAAACAGAATATAAGGAAATCTCATATATATCTAACTATTACGAAGTCTTGAGATGTAAATATACGTACTACGTAAAAATATTTTCAATACTCTAATATTGTAGTGTTGAGTGAACACCATATTAAATCTGGTATAATGAAATTTCAAAAATATCTGGTATAAGAAAATGTAGCAATTGAAAACCATAGTAATCTCCAAGAATGTATGACCATAAAATAAATCAACATGGATAAAAAAGAGCAAATTGCACTTTTTAAGGGATTATGCACTAATTTTGTGTTGTGATGGTAGATCACTTAGAAATTTCTGATGGATGAGCTTACCACAAGTCCTGGTGAATTACCAGAGGTTTAGTATAAATTGTGTTGCAACTACTTGCTTACAAAATTCTTGCGGTTCACCAGGAGTTAACGAGACTTTTTCGCTTCCAAATTTGATATCGAACATTCGGATACTAATTTCTACAATTTTTAACGGTTAGACTCAACTCAGACCTTCAAAAACAATTGATCCATTCTGTCTTCTTCAATAGTCAAACCCAACAATAGCGTTTGTTAACTACACTAATCCAAATCAATCACGAATAAGCACCAGGTCTTCAATATTTAGGAAGATGATATTGGACGAACTATAACGCCCACTGTAGCAGAGGTCTATAATTGCTTCTTTTAATTACATATTTACCAAAACATTTACTCTTAGGTACTTGTTAAAATATATAGTATTTACTTCTAATATTCAGTTGCTATGATTTAGGAAAAAAGTTGAGAAGGCAATGATTTGTTCTTCTACAATTCTAATTAAAAAGAAGTTAACTACTTACCTGCTACCTCAACCAACACAAGTACTATGTAACTCTGTCCACAAAACTTAGGACAGATTTTTACCATAGCTGGAGTTGAAACCCGGTATCTCATGGTCTATACCAGCTTCATTGACACCACGGGCGTGCTTTTTAGAAGCAATAATATGGCATGCTCCTCCTAACCGTTCCATAAATTATTATTTTTTTAAAAAAAAAAACAAACTCCCTGATGCAGAAACTGCCTTGAGCAGTTAGTAGCACAGCAGATTAAAGATCATGTTTGAAAAGGACTCTAAATTCTGTGACCACCAAAGTCACATCACTACACTGTAAAAATATCCCACAGTGAGCTGAACTATTGTACTAGTACAAGTTCATTTTGCTGACAAAATCTAATACATTCTATTTAAAATGAAACTCTTTTTTATGGTAAAACTACTATAACAAGTTTTGAACTCTAAATTCTTGAAAGAGTTTCTACTTCAATGATCTACAAGAACAGAATAAAACCTATATCTCTTTGAAGAGGGTTGCTGCAGCTAAAAAAGGATTTCATAGCTAACATACAAAACTAAGAGCTGAAGGACCAGATGTGACCACTTTCTAACAAAATCTGAAGAGTAACTTCTCATGGTCCAGATCTTCACTGCAAAACTGAAGTGAGGATATGATTGGATGGTAGCAACACACCTGCCCCTCACCACTGTTTCTTCCATCACCAAATCATTGTCTTCTTTCCAGCTTAATATGAAAGGGATGACGAATTTGTACCCTTTAATAATAATTCCTTCCAGCCACTGATCTTCCAAACTAACTAAATCCTCCTGTTGGTAAATATGAATTGAAAAAATCAAGAAAGTTTCATCACCAGAGAAGATAATAAGACTAGACTGTCTGTTAACCTAAAGGCAAAACCAGCTCAGTTTCACAAATAAGATGCTGCAATTGGAACAAATGCCCGAGAATCGTGATTTGAACAGAGCCCATGAGGAAACCATAAATATTACCTTGGTTTACCTTTGATGATGAGGTGAAGATGGCTGATCTGGAGAAGACCGTTGCCCAGAAACTGCATGAAATCGCTGTTCCTCAAAGGCCCCCCGTTGTCGATTTCCCTCACCTGGCTGAGGTTGTTCATTTGCACCTGAGAAACCTGCTGAACTCAGAGACCCAAACTCAAGTTGTTCTCCTTGTGAACCATAACTAGCATTGTGGTCAAATGGATACAGCATTACAACAGGGGAACCACCAGGCCCATTTGAAGTCACTCCACTTGGGTTCATTGCTGTTAATGGATACATGCCATATGCCACATTAGGAGGGCCACTATGGCTTGAATTTCCACGCAATTGACCATTTTGGGACAGATAAGGAACAGAATCATGTCTATGCGAGCTCCATGATCTGTCTCCCCGGCTGTCACTGGATGCCAACCGATCCACTCTTGAGTTTGATTTCTCAGATTGGCTGCGGTTATAATTGCGCCCACCAGCACGAGATTTTGGATTCATATTCCAATTCCCTTCTCTGTCAACATGGTTATCGTTTCTCTCATAGTTGTAATTGCCCCTTCTTGTATTAGATGAGTGTCGATCCCTAACTGAAACCTTCTGACGCAACACCAAATTGCAAAGGTAAAATATCAACTTGAAATGTAGTAAGCACGTATCAATCTAAAAAGATCTTGCGTACAGAATAAAAGAATAAATACTAAAAATACACAAAATCAAGCTTCCCCCAAATGGAAAGAAAGGCAATATGTATGTAAGATTCATGGACATAATATAGGCAAAATGTTGTTGTAACTAGAGGCGAATTTATGATTTTTAGAACATGGGTGCCACCCCTAAAAAAAAGAAAAAATGTATGAAGTGGGATTTGATCCCTAATATTCAAGGTAAATAACTCAATATTCAACCAAGTGCACCATTTAATCTTTTGTAGCATGGGTGCAAGTAAATAATATTGTACAACTTAAGAAAATGTATACATAAAATATCTAGTTTTACGGAAAGACCGCGGATTCACGTGTCCCATATTTAGTACATAAATCTGTCTATGACTGTAACCATCCTCAAACATCAACTCAAAAGCATTGAAAAATAAAACAGCATTGAGATTCACTTTTCAAGAACATCTCTCGTGGAATAAGTGACAAGGATAATGCTGTCTCCCACTAATGACTAATAAAAGAGGCACCGAGCCTTATTCTTTATACTAATGCTTGAACATTATGTGAAACGAACAGAATGAAAACATTGAGTTGCATTAATAAATCCATAGATTACATACAACAGGATGAGCACAAATAAGAGATTCAGAAACGAGAGAGTTGCATATTTTTTTTCAAACAAAAGATATACATAGTGAAGAATGAACTTTGGACCTAACTCAACCCTAGAAGCTAGCTGATTAGGTGAAGATTGTCCAAGACCCCCTCCCCCTCACAGAAACATGTTCAAGACTGGACATCTGGAAGATTGTACAATATACCATGGGACCATACATCGGGTAAATCAAGAATTGGGATAGATCTGGCACTAATACCACATGAAGAAATGGACCTTGGAACTAATTCAACTCCAAAAACTAGGTCATGAGGTGAGGATTGCCCAAGAATATATAAAGAAACCAAGTACCCATTCACAACTGATGAGCCACTCTAACATCCACCTAATTACTATCAGTTAAAGCGACATAATAGAGAGAGATAGAAATAAAATTTAATAATGTAAAAATTTGATGAGTCAACTACTTACAGGATTTGGCAGGTATGTCCCTGTCCCGCTACGGAATCTTGGTATCTCATCAACATACCGCGGAAACACATTAGGAGGTCTATTAGAAGCAGACTGTAGGGGTGCAATGGGCAATACACGAGGACCACAGCTCATCAGCTGAGTAAAGACGTTCATGTTGGCTGAATGAGGTCTTCCAGGACCATCCCACGGGAAACGACCCTGAAAATATGCAGGTGGTACCATTACTGGAGAAGGATAAACAAGTGGTCCAGTATGTCTAGGGTTTTGGCAAAACCTTCCATATTGCAAGTTTTGCCAATGACTAGCAAAGTCACTGTTAAGTATATCAGGCTTGCGTTCACCAGGTGGCTCCATAGAAGTAGCCCCTCTGAAAGAACTGGATGGAGTTAAATCTTCAGAGTGATCAAGTCCCTCAGATGTATCAAAGTTATGGGATGAATCACTATGATCTAGGCATTCTTCTCCTCCTATATGACTTGTTGAAGAATCAGGAGTTCCTGCCTCGGGTGAAATATTATATATTGGAAGCATCGTTAGAAATGGAACTGGTGGTCCAGTGGGGTAAAATGCAATAACCCCAGAATTATCAGTCGTTCTTTGCCGAGAACCAGGCCCAATAAGCATTGGTGTAATGGGCATCATTGTGTCCGAGCCACTTGTCTGAGCAATTTCATGTTCAGGCACATGCCTTGCAAGGTGCATGGAAATAACAGAGTGAGGTCCTTGGTTTCTCTCAGCCATTTCAGTACCCACATTTGAAACAGAATTCCAATCCTGATCATCCTCCTCAGCTTGATCTGAAACATGGTCAGACATCATTTTACCTTTTCCATAACCAGTAGTTGGCTCTGAAGCACCTGTTTTCTTTCCCCGCCTTTCCCTTGTTGACTTTGAGCTTTTAGCGGAAGACCCATCCCAAGAACTCTCAGAGGAGGTTTTACTTCTCATAGAACTACTATGAGCACTGGATGAGAACCTGGAACTTGCCATCCTTTCTTCAGCATAAATGTCATTCAACCGGCTATCCTGAAACTGAATATTATCAGAATGCTCTTCCCTAATTGGCCCATGTTTTTCCTTCATATACTTCTGCTGAGCTCCCTGAGGGTTGCCAGAGCCACTAACCCAAGATGAAGGAACAAAGTTAAAACCTGAATGTATAGACTGTTGCTTAAATTCAGATTGAAGTGTTTCATAATTTCCATTT